GAGAGAGAGAGAGGGATCGAAAGTGAAGAATGACGGTTCTCTCTCTCTCTCTCTCTCTCGTTCGACAGTTGACACAACGATTGTTCGGTTTGTTGTTGCACAGCGACGCCCTTGCGTCGACTTTTAGCGCTCTCTACGGGAAACTGTTGGTCGTAATGGGAATCGCTTTTCCCATGGCCGAAGTAATATCCACCTACATACCGCCGTCGTTCTACGAGGGGTTCTACCTTTACCTCTACTTCGGCAGCATGATCTTCCTCGTCTACATGTACGCCACGTTGCTCCGCGATGGCAAACCGAAGTCAAGTAAGTCGATCGCCACCAGTTTTTATTATCTTTTTGCACTTATTGCACTTATTCCTCTTCGCGAAATATAATTCGAGCTTGGAGAAAAAGAATTTTGCAATTCTCTTTTTTCGTTAACGTGCGAGTGAAAATACTATAATAAAGACGAGACGGAACGGTCTTATTTTTTATTTAAAAATACTGTTCTGAAAGATTATTATATTTAGCGCGATAACATTTTAACATCGAAAATGAAAGTTTAATTCTGCTTAGATCAGACAATCTTGTACATGAAATATAGGTCACGATCTATCCAATCGCGTATCTATCGTATTCCCGTTAACGTCCAACGAGAATCGTTTTTCCAGCTCGATTCCAGCTTTTCCGCTCAAACTTTTCAAACGCGTCGAAAAAGAAAACAGAAAAAACCGGTGGAACAAAAGTTTCGAAGCGTCGAATCCCGTGTTCCGACGACGGGAAGCTCGAATTAAAATCCCATTAATCTTAACCGATTATCATAAATTTGCATACGAGAAGAGAAACGAAAGGACGTGTGCGACCTGGACTCGTCGCGTTCGTCGAGCGGCGCCGGTGGCGACAGCGACACCGCGGACACCACGTGCCCCCACGTGACCACCGTCGTCAGACCGGCCCAACACTACGGCAGTTTTTATCTGAGGATGGGCGCGGTGGCGTTCGGGATCGGATCCATGATCTACTCGGGCCTCGAGTTCGGCCAATACTTCGAGCTCGAGCAGAACACCAAGTGCCACAACATCATGCTCGCCCTCACGCCGGCGACCAGGATGGCGTTCATCTTCATACAGATGTATTTTATATTTCTCAACAACGAGGTTCGTTCGACAACCCGTTAATAACGAGGAAATGGCAGAGGAGAGATAATATCCATACGTCGATCAACTAACGTCAACAAGCGCTTTGAAAACGTTTCTCGTTTGTTTCGTCAAACGATTCGATCGATTGTATCGTGCGTGGAAAGAAGTCTCTCTGATCGGTTAATTTGCAAAACGCCTTTTGTTCTTGCCGTGCTAATCGACGATACGTATTTTTATAAACCTCGATGCGTAGGTAGATCCGGAGAATTCTAACGATGCACAAATTGGAACAAGCTAGATTACGCCATAGTTATATCAATATTAGATCGGAACAATCAATAGCCTCGAAAATATTTCAGCCTCCAGTTTTAGACGATTATTTTAACTCGACTCATAAATGAGAATTATAACTCTCTCGTGAACGAACGGTGTTCGAAGCGGAGATAGATGATCCTATCTCTTTCCATCGTGGATGTTTCGATCGAAATTACGAAATTACAGGGATTGCGAGGAAGGGAAGAGTCGGTCAATGATACTCGTATTTTATTCTGCCATGTTCTCGAACAGTAGAGATTTATATTCCAACTTCTCGAGAAGGGAATCGCAACGATTTGATTCGCGGGGAGAAAGAAGGGAGGAGGGGGACGATTAAGCGAAAGCCGCGAGAGGGAGGTAGGTATCGGTCTGTAGGTGAAGGGGCTAAAAATAAAACAGTGGCATCGATGGTGCAGAGATCTGAAACGTGGCACGTAATGAAAGAGAGCGTCGATGCAAAACGAGAGAAAGGCCGGAAAGGTTAATGAAACGGAAGGGTGAACAACCCTGAAACTAATACGAGTCGTCCAACGACGACGACGACGACCTACCCTCGCCTCAGGTTTGCTCTTTGCCCCGCGACAGATGAATATCTCGCTGCACTCGGCCGCTTTTGATTAAAACTTTCCTCCTCTCGTCGAGAGAAGGATCCATCGTTACCTGCCTGCCCGTTTCGCATCCCCTGAATACGTCCCTCTCGAATAACGTTTCGAATAATCGTATCCCTTAAGAGGGCGACGATCGATCGTTGCGATTCTTTGACCCCGTTTTCGATTCGTCACTCACCACTTTCGTCTTTCCAACAGCAAATGAAAGTTTATCGTCATCGGGTGGTCGCGCGATTCGGACTGATGCACATGATCGGGACGAACCTGTCCGTCTGGCTGAGCGTCCTTGTACAGGAAACGAAACACGAGATTTTGACGTTCTACAATCCGGAGAACAACTCGTTAAGGATCTCCCACAGATTAGGTAAGAGAGTGTCTCACCATTCGTCAAAAGAAGAGAAGAAGAAAAAAGAAGGATATCCATCGAGATATCTGATTTAAAGTATTTACGTATCCGTCGAAATAAATTGAAATTGATTGATCGAAGGCGCGAAGAGCAATCTCGCCGTGCACAACCACTACCACCACGGGGAGCAACACCTGAGGCTTCCAAGGGGGCTTAAAGGGCCGCATCACATGTTCGAGTGTCGAAGAACGAACATAATGGGATCGTTGGTCCAGGACGCCAGCCCCTTCCTTTTCCCTTGCACGATCGAGTACAGCTTGATCTGCGCAGCGATCCTCTACGTGATGTGGAAGAACATATCGAAGGCTGCGTTCTCCCAGCCCAAGACGCCGCCCGGATCCCGCCATCACGCGCACGCCTACAGGTGCGAGTCGAGAAAGAAGAACGAGCACACCCTTCGAACACGCTCTTTCTCAAACGCTCGCCTCCTCTCTCTCGTTTCAGGAAATCGCCCCATCACTACAGCGTGGACTGCGCCCGGGCCCACAAGGGCCTGTTCGTCGGCATACTGATCCTCGTTCTAACGATCATCTCCCTGATCCTGTTCTTCGTGCTGATCTCGCGTCCGGAATTGGTCAGCTTCGCCGTGACCGAGGTGAACGTGTGCGAATTGACCCTGTACGGGATGTCGACGATGGCCACGCTGATAGGCATGTTCCAGATGCGCAAGCTCCGCTACGACGGGAACAGGAACCTGGAATTGGACAATATACTGTTGGTCGCCGCCCAGACGGGGATGTTCATCTACTCGACGTTCACGATCATCGGCGCCCAATTCACCCTCGCCAAGCACACGGTGCTCGTGCTGGTCACGGCGTTGGCCAGCGTGGTTCAGACCACGTTCCAGACGATATTCATCCTCGACGCGTCGAGGCGGTCCGTGGCCACCGCGAAGCAGATCAGACGGAAGCCGGGAAGAGAGATCGTCACGTTCCTCCTCGTCACGAATCTGGCCATGTGGGCGATCAACACGTTGGAGAAGTCGAGGGCCGAGTCGCATCCCGTCCAGCTGCACTTCTACGGCCTTTGGGCGTGGACCATCATCACCCACGTCTCGATGCCGTTGGCGATATTCTACAGGTTCCACAGCACCGTGTGCCTGTGCGAGGTCTGGAAAAGAGCGTACAAGGTGAAGCCTACCTACATGTGACGTAAGGGGTCCCGTGAGGTCGTGTGCAACACCGCGGCTCCTCAACGACCGAAAACCCTGCCGGCCAGGCTCCACGCCATCGCGGAAAACGATCCGATTTACTTTATGTAAGGAAGAGAGGGAGCGAGGGAGAGATTCTCTTCTTTCTCTCTCTTCTTCGTCGCTCGAGGTTCTCAGCCAAGCTGCTCGTCAAAACATGTATACGTTCATCACCAGGCGTGTATGCGTTGTTCTATGGATCTATTCACTTGAGCTCGACGAGCCTCGAGTTTGAGAAGGAATGGCGGTTGTTTGTTTTTCTTTTTCGATCGTCGAGAAGTTGCGTTTATACATATATATATATATATATATATATTATTGCGTTTAGATAATTGTACAATGTTTTATCGAATCGCGTCTACGAGGAGAAGAGAAGATCCCAAAACACGCGATATTTGTAAATACACAATCACGCATATTTTATTCTTCGTGACGAGGTGGAAATCTTTTAGAAGAGGAAGATGATCGATTTCTTTTTTCTTTCTTTTTTTTTTTTTTTTTAAGAGAAACAAATAAGAGACTAGTAGTGCAGAGAGAAGAGGGTGGCACGATTAACGACGCACAATTTTTAGACGGGGTTACAGATAACGTAGACGATTAGCCGAGTAGTCGAATCGTCGAAGCAACGGTTGTTCCTTCGATATTCTCGGGAACAATATAAATTTCTGTTCGATACATTATTAAGCGTTAAGACGATTTTCTATACTGATCGAGAATAGCGAGTGTGTGAGACAGGGGAAGAAGAAAGAATGAGAGAGAGAGAGAGTAGAAAAAGTATGCGTGTACAAAAGAAGAGAAGGATGTTCTTTTTTTTTCTTCCTTTCTTTCTTTCTTTCGTTGATCGTAAAAAGTTTGTAAGACTGAAATCTTAAGCAACCATTGGACGATGGTTGTGATGACGATAAAAGAACGATTCCGTTCTGACACGCAACAATTCGACCGAAGAATCCGCGTTAACCAACACGAGAGAGAGAGAGAGAGAGGAACCCCTGATCGATCTGTCCTTCGATTAGTTTACTCGGATCTACTCTCACGGACTCATCCGTCTTCCACGTAGTACAAAGTCGCAACTTAACGAGTAAAAAAAAAAAAGAAAAAATACTACTACTACTACTATTACTAATAATAATAATAATGATAATAATGTCTCTCGTAGTCCAAAAGTTGAAAAGAAAGAAAAAGAGAGAATCGAGAGAAACGGATTGGGTAAAGTCCAATGACTTATTCGTCACCTCGAATAAATTTTTATATCACGTTATTACGTAGATGATGTTCTCTCGTCGTTCAAATCTCCTAATATAATAAATAGATACTAAAGGCGAAGATAAAAAGTGGAAACAAGAGATAAGATCCTCGCGAAAATCGATAATTGTGCCACAAACGTGCAACGTCTGTTTCTCGCGAAATTCACGTGGCAACGTGTCGCTCGCTCGATCGATCGATCGTTCGTCCGCGTTTCGAGGAAAAGGTGCGATGGAATCGCTTAACGATTACACTCCTGTACAACCAAGTCCGCACTGAGAGTTTACATCGAAATTACGAGAAGGTTGTACTCGCCGTTGACGTTGCACGTTGGTCACGAATCTGAATTCGAAATATTCGGTCGTAGTCGATGATGAGAAAAAGAGGGGAAGAGGGAGGAAATGATAGAGGAGGAGATCAGCTTTGAAAGTTTAAAAGAACCGAGTCGATGCTTCGTGCGTTGTTTCCAATCGTGGTAAAAAACCAAAGGTGAATAGATTTAGGTTCATTTTCAAACGGAAATAACGCAATAGCGTCCTCCCCTTGTAGAAATATATTCCGAATAGAATTGAAGAGGAAAAAAAAAAAAGAAAAAGAAAAAAACAAAAACGTAGAAAGATAAACGTTCGAGGAACGAGGAACAGAGTACAATGGCGATATCATATCATTAAGCCTTAATCCGTCGAGTGTGCTGTCCGAAATACTCCGAAATACTACGGTTAAAGAGGAAGAACGAGAAGGAAAGGGAGATCAAAGAAATCGAGCGATCGACACCGATGATATTCTCGAGAGAATAAGCCGAGAGAAGAAGACCTCGCGTGCTCGAATCGATCGAATCCGTTCGGCAAACAGCCGTTGGAAAGCATGTGGAAGACATCGAACGAGGATCACAAACGATCCGTGGAGAGCGTGAAATCGAATCGAATCGCATCTAATCGATCGGCGCGGTGTGCAACACTATTATTGTTCCGCGGGTATGCAAGTATACGCGAATGTATGCACGATTGTTTCTTCTGTGCGTGTTGCGAATATGTGCGTGCGTGTCCTCTTGGGAACAACTCGGCGAAGAATGGTCGAGAGAGCGAGAGAGAGAGAGAGAGAGAGCGAGAGAGAAGGAAAAAGGAACGGAAGAGCGTCGTCCGGATAGCGTGAAAAGGTTCGACTATTTTTTTTTGTTTCTAGTTAAACGCGCGATTAGGCGCTTTTTATTTCTCTTCGTCTTCGATGACGATCACGCTCGCGATCGTCGATATTTATCATCATCAGTTAGAAAATTTATGAAAGCTGCATAGTTGAACCGGTTGATTCTTTTGTAAATTCTACTGCGCGGGGCGGGTTGTACATACTACAAAGGGGTTCAAGGAGGAAGAAAGGGAAATCGTAAGAAGGATAAGTGTGAAGGGAAAAAGGGGGAAAGGAAAAAAGAAAAAAAGAAAAAGAAAAAAAAAATAAGAAAATGGATCCTCTCGATGTTTAGAGCTAGTTGTGTCGACATGTTTCTTCCTATATTATATATAATATATATACACATATATATACAAATATAAATATATTTATTATTGCGTTGTTCTATTATAATATTTATTGTATTATCAGATATAGGATTTACGCGCGACACGTTACGTTTATTGATCGGGGCTCGTGTCGAGATTCATCATTCCATCCGCGTTTCTCTTCGTTCGCTTCTTCCTTTTCTTATAAACACCATACTTCTCTTTTCTTGTTTCTTCTTCTTCTTCTTCTTCTTCTTCTCGTTGTCATTCGAATCGAACGATTGAAAAGATCTGTTTGTTCTCGATTTCCCTCGTCTTTAAACACACACCAATTGCGGCAATTAAACGGCGATCTCGGCACGAGTTTTAACCGAAATCGAGGCGAAACACGAAACGAAAAAAGAAAAAAAAAGGAAAAAAGGAAAAAAAAAAAGAAAAAAAGAAGAAACAAAACGAAGATAAGTCACGATGTGCGCAATTCGAGCAAGGGTGAACGGGGTAAACGACGAATATACCCTTCTATGTCACGTCTCTAAACTGTACTTTTTCTATGTCCGCATACTCTAGTTCCTACGCAATGTTTGTACTCTTATACCCTTTGTACTATTTGTACCTTACGAATTGCAATACACTCGTCCGCAATAATAACCTGGTTTCGTTCTTTGCAAACCGAGCATTTGTCATCGCGGGGCCGAAAAAGAAGGAAGGAAGAAAGAAAGAAAGAAAAAAAAATATTCGTCCTCGTTTCCCAAATATCATCCACTCCGAATAATGAAACCTATTTTCCTACGTGCATCTATAAGAAAGCATCTATAAGAAAAAATTACTCGAGATATGGAATATCCATATCACTCGCCGCACATCCTTCCTTTCCTTTCCCGGCAGAAAGACAGTTTTCCATCTCTGTCGCTACGAGTTGTTTGTCAACGAGAGTATACAGAGTTGCAGTCACGAGGCCGAACGTCGACCTAAATACCTTCGATTCTCTTCTCTCGACTCGTGATGATCTCGCCGAGATAATCTCGACTCGAATCCACCACGGTCATTCGACTCGAGATCGGGCCGAATCGAATCAAACGAGAAGATGATCGAGCCGCGATGCAACTTTCTCTCACGACGAAACGCGTCTTAGATCGATCTCTCTCGGCCGAGATTTCAATCTAAAACAATTACCTTTGCGATAATTACTCTATATCATAATTTCATCTTTGATTTGAATTTTTGAAAGTATGGAGAATAGAGGAATTTAAAAAAAAAAAAAAAAATAACTTCTTCACTGAACGAAAGTTAAGTAATGTTCTGTTTCGCAAAACTTGAAAAATAAAATCTTTCTGCGTTATATATATAGTGCGAAAATAAACGTGACATGGCAAGGACTTGCGTCATACGTCATACGAGAATTATTAATTGATTCCTCGCTAAATAAAGGCGCTCGTAGTATGTTCACACATACTAAAATCGGCAAGGTCGATCCATTAGCGAATACGCGTGCATCGATGCATCCTTCGTGCGCGCTGGATGCAACTGGTTTCCGTATTACGTGTGCAGTCTCTTAATCGGGAAGTCGCCTTAATTCTCAATAAGGTGAGTAGCTTCGTTTCTGCCGCATCACCATCATCGTTTCGTCTTCGTCCAAAATTTTTCTTTCGCGCAAGATCGCCTCGAGGAGAAACGCTCACACAATTTTTTCCCCGATTAAAACAAACGCGAATATCAGCGCCGCTGTGATCTCGAATCACTCGCATCGAAGTCTCGGCCCTGCGGCATAATCGCGTTATATCGCTTTGTACTTCACCTTTTCAATACGCATGCCGGAATATCTTTCGACACGTCTTGAAAAATTAAAATAATCATAAATACATACATAATGGAATCGTCGATATCCTTACAATTAAACATCTATTTAATTCATCACTTTACGTTTGATTTAATTTGAAATTTGATTTTTGATCGCATCTCGTTTAAATAAAATTCATCTACCTGTATCAAACGATCGTATAGGCGTTTGTATATAATTCGAAGCACGTCTCAGCATCTAACGATTCGTAAGACTTTTCTTATCGCGGATACTTTTGTGACTCGTCACTTCTCGATTCAACCGCTCGATCTCGAGCGAAATGATCGAGCGAATTCGCAAATTGATGACGACGCGAAGAGACGGGCGAGAATGCGAAGGGAAGGCGGTTCGTTTTTATCGTTGGCGGTGAGTGAGAGGAGGATAAGAGGAGCGTTGCACGTAAGAGAGCGTGCGAACGAAACGACCCTTTACACGCCTCGTAATAATGTTCACCAGCAGGTGAATCGAGTGTGGGCGT